TCTCCAAGTAATGGAGCTCGAATATCAGAGCCTAGAGCTTTAAAGGCAGTTTGTGTCGCGATCTGTTGAGAGGGTTTAGGGTTTAGGGTTCGGGGTTTAGGGTTTAGGGGTTCGGGGTATATAGGGGCCTTAATGATTAGAATAGGGTTTGGGGTCCTGTAGAGTGTAGTTATGATAAGGAAGTTTAGGGTTTCGGGCGTCATGACAGGGCACGGGCCTGTCATCTTGCCACCTCATCTGCGATAGCAGCACGAGAGCTTCGTTCCGTGGCGCTCTGCAGCGTTGTGTGGGGCGATTGCTTGAAGGAGTACAGTTTGTTCAATGCAGGAGTACTGGAGCCTGTGACTTAGGGCCGGCGCGAAGCAGATCCATTGAAGAACTCCGTTGTAGCAGAGACTGCAGCCTCCTTCGAAAGGTTGTCCGGGTTGCTACCTTAGCAGTTTTTCGCGTACTTCGAATGTAAGGCGATGTAAGGAATGCAAAGGCAAGTCGACCCCGCCAAGCGAAGAACATGCTAGATCCAGCTCACAAGGGCCGGTGTCAACCGCTTAAAAACCTACAAGCTCAAAAGACAAACCACACTGACTGCCCTGATGATTGATGACCTAAGACCTAAGGTTTTTCAAACAAATATTTGGCCAGGAAGAGATGGCTCTACACGGCGATCGCGAATGCTGTAGGCTCGGGTATAGTTTTCTGGTGACTGGGGTTCCAAGAGTTTCACGCTTTCCAAATCTTGCCTGTAGACCCCGAACCCAGAATTCTTGAGTCTTAAAAGCAAAGAGGCCCCGCCGTGCCTGGCATGGGGCATCGTAAAGACCGGCGGCGGGCCATTCTGGCTGAACGCAATGCCCAAATTACTGCTACAGTGTGCTTGCTATTGCGACCTCCTTCTACGGCCCTTCTCGCAACTTCCGCAAGATCAAAGGACTTTAGCTTGCTCACCTTGGATTGAAAACATGACCCCGACAAGCCTTGAAACTATACGAACACTTTAGAACTTTGTACTCCAACCCTAAACCCTAATCCTTCTATATGAGATCAAGCCTCCCTAAGCCCGAAACCCTATACGAATGTGCCTCCAAAGCTTACAAGCCTTGAAGCTCCGAAATCGCCGGATCGCAGATCCAAACGCCTGCAGGCACCGTGCTGGGATGCCTCGTCCTGGTGATCCTGATGGAGGATAAGACCTGAGGATTTAAGGGTGAAGGTTCAGGGTCTAAGGTTTAGGGTGCTTAGGGTTTGTCTTTTTTAGACTCGAGGGGGGGCTGCTTTTCAGCGGACCATATCCGGAAGCCCAAGCGCTGACTTCTTGCGTCAGCCTCGGGCCCCAACAATCGGGAAGCCCGAATAACATCGCACGCCGTAAGATAGCTTGCGGCCAACAGCTACACAGTTGTAGCAAGGCACAGGTTTCGATGGAGTCTCAGAAGATCCACGCTGCACGATGTTCCAATCACAGGCATGAGGAAATTCCCTTGTAGTCCGTTGACAACTATACTTCGAAACATCCATGGAATGCATGCCTGGCCGAGAGAGAGGGTTCCAATATCTGTGGACCCTGAACCCTTAACCTAAAACTTGAACCGGAATGCAAGCAACGAAACAGGCCCTTAAGCAAAAGCTGCTTCGCGCTTCATGGCGAAAGGGAGACCCCCCACTGCTATCTCAAACACGTGGTCTGCAGCCAATCAGCTCGAAGTGAGGCGATGTTCAGGGTTGAGGGGTTTCGGGTTTATTTAGGGTTCTGACAGCCGAGAGAATGTCCTTCTTGCACCCCGGACCGCTGCGCAAACCTGATTCTAAATGTTCCGACACCTATATTGCAAAGAATTGCTGACGGCTTGTCGCCTCGAGTTCAATATTGAGGCACGTCGGCGCATTTTGGCCGATCACTTCTCAAACCCACGGATCCCGTCCACACCCACAGCACTGAAAGCCCACATCTTTAAAAAGCCCTCCGAAGCGAAGAGGTTGCACGAGCCCTTTTTTAATCTTAAACCCAAAACCCCCAAACCCTAAACTCTTACAAACCCGAAATCCCAAAAGTACAAAGCATTCCGATCCCTCTGCAGGAGCGCGGCATCGATTTCATCAAGGAGTCGTTCCCTTCCACGTTTACCAGCCTCCCAGCTGTCTTGGGATTCTAGGGTTCAGGGGTTTGGTGTTCAGGGTGCAAGGATTTAGGGTTCAGGGAGAATAGCAAACTCCGGATGTCGGTACAAGCTGCAGACCAAACACTCAGTAGGTATAATCTGTGCAGTGAAAGCACTGTGCTGTGCTTCTTCATGGGCCTGTACAAATATTTTTCCTGTTCTCGCGATTTTGAGGGATTCTGCCTCACTTCGAAACGGCGACAGCGATGGGTAGATTGGCGCGGCATCTGGCTTCAAGCTTGACATCTGGCTCAAGCCTAGACCGTGACCATCGTGTTAGCTCGCGGTTAGCGGTAGCCTTCTACAGTTTCGCCGCCGCCGATGTCGATGGAAGGCAGCCGGAAGGCCACACATTCCAGCGCTTGTTTTGGAGACTTAGTAGCTGAGTGGATAACCTTTAACCTTTTGGGGTGGATCTAATCTGACTATAACTCAAAAGGGCAACCTTTTTTGGGCTAGGGTAGTCAGCCCCTTAGGAGAACCGGGGATGTAGGGTAGGATGCTTCTCCAGAACCAGGTATTAGAAACCCAGAGCCGGGGTAAACTTAAGAACCCTACTCGACCCTAGACCCTAAACCCTAAACCCTAAACCCCTAAACCCCTAAAACCCCTAAACCCCTAAACCCTAAACCCTCAAACCCTAAACCCTAAACAACACTAAAGGGCCGGTGGGACTCTGGAGTCGGCACCCAGACAGAGGCACTAAGTTTACACATGGGTGGTTGTCAAAATTATGGTCCCTTTTTGGGTCCTTATATTAATACGGCACCTATTCTTTTAGGCACTAAATCTACACATGTATTTTGGGTTTGGGGTTTTAGGGGGTTTAGTTTAGGAATTTGGGGTTTAGGGTTTAGGGTTTAGGGTTTTGGATTTAGGGGGTTTAGTTCAGGAATTTGGGGTTTAGGGTTTAGGGTTTTGGGTTTAGGGGGTTTTAGTTTAGGAATTGGGGTTTAGGGTTTAGGATTTAGGGTTCGGGGTTTAGGTTTAGGCAAAAGGGTTTTGGGTTTTGGGTTTCAGGCCTGAAATTGCAGGTGGCCGGAGACGGGGTGACACTTCCTTGCCCAGGTAAGTTAACAATGAACCCCATCCCCTTGCAACCCAAAACCTCACAACACGTCGCTAACATGGAGGCCGGAATAATTACCAACACTGTGTCTGGGGTTCCTGATTATCATGACACTATAATGGTGCACCCTCCAAATCCTATTCTGAGTAAGGCCTCCAAACCCTACACCCTGGGTCAGCTGAGGGCTAGTCGCTTTGGCACACAAGCCTGCCACAATGTGGCTTCTACCGACCTTGACTGCTAGGTGGAAAAGGTGCTAAAAAAACCTATTCTAACTAAGGCCCCCAAACCCTAAACCCTAAACCCCATTCTCATGAAGGCCCCCAAACCTTCAACCCTAGACCCTATTCTATGTAAGGCCCGTAGATTACATCCTTGGCAGGCCCTGCAATCCACCTTGGGTGCCTTGTCCGCCCTGGCCGTCGCAGCGCTGGCGGGCGTGGCCAGATGGCTGCCGACGAATCTGAAGGACGGCTTGGGGTTATGCTTTACCTTAAGAACCCCAAACCTACTTTTTTGTAGGGTCCCTAAAAATCCCATATTAGGGTTTATAATAAGAACTTACAAAAAAGTGGGTTTTGGGTTCTTAAGGTAAGGTACCAGCATCCCTTAATCAAGGGGCTTTTAGGGTTTAGGGTTTAGAATGTCGAGAGAAGGACTTACTATCATGGTTTGGGTAAGTATCCCCCATAGATAGGCGGACCCTTTGGGGACTGACGATGGCCTATAAGGGTTTACATGCGTGAGATGTAAGGACGATTCAGGGTTGGTGTTTTCAGGCATGAGACGCATATCAGGCTCACTGATAGTAGTGAGTGGTGCAGCCTTCAACCACTTGGGTTTCGAATTCGACTGCATGTGTTCAGTGGTTTGGGTGCACGTGCAGCCTTTTGTTTCTGTGGCTGGGTTGTGGCAAATCTTTGAGCCGCGGGGGTCTGTCTCGTTGAAACGTTTCATCATATCTCTAGTGGTTTGACAACGGTGCCAATTAGGTTCTTGCAGGGCTCCCCTTCACCTCCTCACACTCCCTCCCACTCCTCCACCGGCAACACAGGCCCTAAACCCTAAACCCCAAACCCTAAACCACAAACCCTACATAAACCCCTAAACCCTGAACCCCATCGGGACGTCTCCTTGCCATGCCTGCTTCGTGCGAGTGTGTGAGTCGAAACCCCATTGTGGAGGTGATTCTAGGCGTGAATGTGGGGCTCTCGATCCTGGGCTACATCGCCATGGCCTCCATCTCCAGAACGCTGGGTGACACCTTCATCAAGGCAGGTCCCTGAACTTAGGCTCGATCCCTACACATCCTAAACACCAATCTTGGTGGACACTGGCGAGAGGAAAAGAGTCGTGCCAAAAAAAGCTTCAACTTCGTGCTCAGAGAAATTATCTTTCAGTTTCATACAGTTTATTGGAGCGAAAAGGCTTTTGTGATGATGTTTTGTACCAGTATGAGGGTCGGTTCTACGGGTGTTTAGGCCTAAACACCAACCCGTTTACGAGACACCCACAGCCATAAGCCCCACAGTCAAACTTAAAACATCTTAAAGCCCTATAAACACTAGACAATAAAAACCCACACCCAGATCCCACCATGGTCGTTGTTTACGGTGTCCTTGTAATGATTCCCTCGAAAGCTCGCAGGTCCTTCTAATTCTAATCGCGACAATACGGGTCACCATAGATTGCTATGAGAGGCTCGGGCCACTAAACGGCTCTATAGCAGGATCCACTATAAGCGTTGTATAGGGTTCTACAACAGCGCCCCCTGAATGGCGATTCAGGCGAATTTGCGTGGGATCGATCTCAACAAGCAGACAACGAAGCGCGATGCCGATGGCAATTTGGTGAGACCCATCGAAGGCATTCCCATTCCAGAATCTCAGGGAACGATAGCGGCAGCCGTGCCTAGGTTTGGGTTTGAGCATGATTTGTTTTTTTCTGTAACCCCGGTGGAATATACGCCCGTTCTTGAGCTAAGCTTTTATCATACGTAATCCGTGCGACAAAACATGCCAAGGTGTACATCCTCTTGCTGTCTGTCTTCATTCCCTTCGCTTTCGCAAGAGAGAATCTAGAGCTATTTCCCCACAATGAAATGGCAGAGTACTTGGCCGCGGTGCTCACCATCACCTTTGCCTCCTTCATGGGCTTTGCTGATGACGTCTTAGATCTCCGTTGGAGATACAAAATCCCATTACCTTTTCTGGCCACGCTTCCGTTGCTGCTAGTCTATTATGCCAATGGAAACGAGACTGGCGTTATGGTTCCAAACCAACTGCGCTGGTTGTTTGGTGATGCAATTGACTTAGGAGTGTTCTTTTATGCTTTCCTTTTGCTCCTTGCAGTCTTCTCCACCCATGCCATCAATATCTATGCTGGCGTGAATGGGTTGGAGGTAGGTCAAGCGGTTGTCATTGCCGGTTCTGTTCTGCTCTTGAACATTATCCAGCTGCACCGCATCCCGGACCAGTACAAGAACTATAGGGACAGTCATGTGCAATCAATCTTTCTCATCGTGCCTTTTCTGGCTGTAAGCATGTCACTGCTGCGGCTCAACTGGTTCCCTGCTACGGTCTTCGTCGGCGATACATACTGCTACTTTGCAGGCATGACCTTGGCCGTTGTGAGCATAATTGGACATATCAGCAAGACGATGGTTCTCCTACTCATTCCGCAGGTGCTGAACTTCTTATACTCCTGCCCACAGCTTTTCTCCTTCATGGGTATCCCATGCCCTCGGCACCGAATGCCGGCCTACAATGCCTCCAATGGGACAGCTCCTTGGCAGATGGACGGGATTCTATCTGTAGAGCCCCCCTGAAAATCTACACATGCTCCCGAATTAGGTTTTGACTACAAACGCCGCCCATGAAAAGTGCAGGAACGCAAGTACGACTTCTATCTTCGAACTCACAAACCCTTAATCCTAAACCCTAAACCCTCCGCTTAAAAATCAGGTTTGCAACAGCTACGCCGAGTTCAAACCCGCCGAGCTGAAGCCGCTAGGGCGTTTGGTCTTCACGGTGCTGAAGTCTCTGCAGCTTTGGCTTCAGGGGTTTAGGGTGTATAGGGCTTTAGGGGTTTAGGGGTTTTAGGGTTTGGGGTTTATAGGGTTAAGGGTTTAGGATTTAGTTCCGTGTGTAAGGAGTTGAGCCCTTACCGTAGAGGGTGCAGCCGTTAAGCTAGCAGTGAATTCGATGCACAGCTATGCCAACCTTCGGGTTATCGAATTCGGCTTAGCGAGACCCAGCACTCTTAGATAAGGAGTGCTGGGAGTTTAGGATGGAGGCTAGCTTTCTAATTCGAGATGCTCTAAATCCCGATTGAGTGTGGGACTGTTTTGCGGCTTTTGGTTTGGGGCTTCGGAATCTGTTACAGAGTTACAGAGATGCTGAGATTTCCCATGGAGCTCCTCGCCAGAGCTTCAAGCCTACCCATAGGCGCCATAGTAGTTCCTTTTTGGGGTTCATGTTTAGAATCCTATAAGGTAATCCCAAAAAGGAACTACTATGGGGCCTCTGGGTATGCCCAAATGAGAGTGGTTTCCATTCACAACCCCCCAGCAAGAACCCCAAGCCCTGCTCCTTCATCTCGACCCAATGAAAGAGATCGTGTCCGACATAGTCGATCGGTGTTTTCTCCTTGAGATGAAGACTGATAGGCCAATTTCAGGCCAAGAAACCTCACATCTGCAGTCCGATTCCTGAATCCAAGGGGGATCTAGGGTGCAGAGTTTAGGGTATAGGGTTTGGAGTTTTGGGTTTAGAGTGTATGGCCTAGGCTTGGTAGGTGGGTTACGCTTCACAGAGCTATCCCTCGGCTTTTCAGGTCATGCCTGGGTACGCGGTTGCGCTCTATAAAGGAAATCGTGTATTCAGAAAGCGGCAATAGAATCCAGGGTCTGACAAGTTCAACTGCCAGACATCTCAGGAGGCTGGTGCACCTGAAACCTGGCAAAGAGGAGGGCTCCGTGATGATGAGCAACCTCACTCTTATCAACTTCGTTCTCTATGTCCCTTGGCGCCTAGAGATGCGGGTTCATGTAGATCCCTGGCTAATGCACTTCCTACTAAGAACGATATGATCATGGGAAGCTTCATATTAAGGCCCTTCGCAAGCAAAAGAAGATATTCATCAGGGGTCTACATTAATGTCTTGTGGACTTCGCTTTCTATGTCCCTTTGGGGGGTTGTGCTTTGGATTTGGAGGACAGAGCGAGGGCGTTGAGGCACATTGCTGTGCTTTGATGCAAGGCACCCTTCGGCTTGTTGCATTGTTTCACTTAGTAGTAGAGTAGGTAACCTTTAACCTTTCTGGTGTACCATAACCCCTGTATAAACCCAATATCCCCCAAAGGTCAACCTTTAATTCCCCAAGATACTCGTCAAGTGGGTTCAGGAGGCATGTTTTCAACCCTGAGGTCATGGGACCATGCCGCGAAGATGTCTTATGCCTCCGTCTGCTGATGCTGCAGTTGGGAAGCACCTTCTTGTGCTTCTCCCTCCGGTTTGGCTTGGCATCCTATATCTTTGATGTCGTCCTCTGAGAGATTTTCTCACTTGCTGCAAGGATGCCTGTCAAGCTCGTCGGATAGACTTTCCGTCCGAAGCTTGGAAGTTAGAAGCCTACCCACAGCCTACGCTCAAACCAATAGTCAGTCCCCTTCGTTTAGGACGTTACGGGTATCGGGATAGCTAACACTTCCGGAGACTTCCTGAACGTGTTGAGTTTGATCATGCCATATGTAGACGTGCAGCTTGGATATCACATGTATATAGTTTGGTATCATCGTATATACAAAACACGTTATATGATCTGGTTAATGGGCGGTAGAAATTTGACGGAGTGGTTCTAGGCTTCTTCGCTTAGCATCGAAGCTTACCCACACAGTGCGTGCACAGAGCGCAACGAAAAGGCTCCGAAAGCCGTGCCTCCTAAGTTGGATTTAGGGTTTAAAGTTTAAGGTTCATAGTCTAGGGATCGGGTCCGAATATGGAGGGTTTCTCGCGCAGTCCACATGGTCAGGATCGTATAGTGCTTGGGGGTTTCGGCAAAATGCCAAAGTCATGGAAAAGGGGGAGGCCTTGAGGTATTGGGTCAAAGTGATGGAAATGGTCAGTGACTTCGACGAAGGGCTCGACAAAGGAAGGCTTTCTGACGCACTCGGGGCGACGCCCAGAGCATCACAGATGTCATATGGGTAGTTCTCTAAATTAGGGTTCCTTTTGGGGTCCTTTTTATAAGGGTGCCGTACTATATTGGGGACCCAAAACGGGACCCTAATTTAGAGAACTACCCATATGTCTGCCTCCCATCTCAAGCTGCGACTTGCTGTGCAGAACTGGCCGTAGCTGGCGCTTGAAGGCTGAGGCTACGATGGTTAAGCCCTTCTCCTAAACTTTAGCCACGGTTTAGGGTTTATAGGGTTTAGGGTTTAGGTCTTGAACCTTGAACCCCTTCCACGCACTAAACAAACGACCCTCATAGACTCTTATCGTATCTCCTACCACCTAAGCGACCAGGAGCTTTCACACCAGACATCAAGAACGCGGCAGCTCATTACAGAGCTGGTTGCGAGAGAGCCCAATACTCCTGAATCAGAGACCTGCTCCTTAAATGTCTCTATACCATGACACCCATGTTGAACGGCCTGATGTTTTGCGAGGATTTCTGGGCTGCTCAGGACAATCATTATCCGGTGGCCCTAGGTATTGCCTTGGTGCGATTGTTTCCTGGGCTGGGCGTTCTGAAACCTCGCCCGCATGACCTGAGCCAGGCTACACCATATCGCCCCATACAAACAAACAAACTTCCACACATACATACATACATACATACATACATACATACATACATACATACATACATACATAGAAACATACATACAAAAAGTATATGAGTATGTATACGCGCATGCATACATGCATATACATATATATATATATATATGCATGCATATATATATATATATACATATATCTATATATACATAGATACACATGTATATGTGTATATATATATATATATATTCTCATACATACGCATATTTAACAATGTATCTACCTATATCTATATCTATATATATATATATACATGTATCTCTTCTTTTATACCGATACATGTGTATATATGCGTATGTATGTATGTATGTATGTATGTATGTATGTATGTATGTATGCATGTGTATGCAACACATGTATAAACACATATCTATATATATATATACATACATGTGTGTGCTTATGTGTGTATATATATATATACACACATACAGGCGTATCTGTACATATATATATATATATATATATACATATATATATATATATACACATCCATACATATGTGTGTCAGTCCGGACCCAATTGGAGTCTCAACACTGAATAGCACACCCTCAAAGTCTCTATCTATAAGACCAAACCAACCCATAGACCAAATCGCCCACATAACTATACCCCTTTGCTAAGCCCCTGGATTTGCCTTCCCATAGAATGAGTACATATTACCCCGACGCCCATAGAGTCAGGAGGTGTCCTGGCCTGACCTCTTTGGCCGAAGAAAGCTCCGTTTCCAAAACCTCGCCAGACCAAGGCAAGTGGTGGTCTTGGTCTGAGGGCATGATGCAGGTGCGAGTGGGACTAGGGATCCCTAACTCAGGGTTTGGGGTACAATAAGGGTTTTGAGAGCAGGATTCCCGGTTAGGGCTTGGGGAAAGGATCCATGCGCCCGGGTGGTGTATATACTTATGTTGGCGTGGAAGATAGAAGCTTTAAGGCCAAAGCACATATTAAATGAGTCGTTTTTTTGTGGATTTCAGCTGTGGTTGGTCAGGGGTTTGGGTGTGGGCTTGGGGATTAATTAGTTGGGGTGTGGGCCTTGCTATTCACGTTTATGGTTCGGTGCGTTCGGCTTACGTAGTTTGTTCTGGGGCTTGGGCCGTTTAGGTGCCTGGGGTTCATGCCGTAGCAAGTGGGGTGCAAGCATTTGCGTGGCTTGCTTGCTCCGTAATCGTGCAAGATTGAGTTATAATCCCTAAACCCTGAACCCTAAACCGTTTATAACTGAGCCATTGCAGCGAAATGTCGCAACGACGCTTTAGGCTTCGGGGCTTCAGGGGCCTACAGTAGTGACGCCTTGGACGACATAAGGCCACACTTGCACAAAGGTCTAATATCGGGGCGTAAATATCTTATTCCTTCGGGCTCCTTATTGTGAGTATCGTCCAAAATACCCCCAAAACCCTGTTGGAATGATTAAGGCCCCTATAATAATTCGAGATTGGATCGCTTGATATCTGATACCCCTCCCAACATACGCAGAGAGTGGCAGGACGGAAATGTCTGCATCATAGTCCAGATGCTGCTGCAAAGCCAGCAGCACATGACTCTAGGTTTCCGAAGCGTTTTTGATCTCGCTGCCAATGGTCTCCATCGTTTGTTCGTTTTTTTTATCGGTTGTATGGGTAGATTTCTATGCCGTAAATGGCCATAAAACTAGATTTGCAAAAATGTATTAAACAAGGTGACCCCCAAAAGAGCTGCACTTGAGACTGTCGGCTCAAAGAGCCATTGCGGCCTAACATTACACGGATTTTTGGTCCCAGCTCCAGCGGCTCCCTAAAGCCTAAACCGAAGCTGTGCCAGGCCTATGGACCCATCGCTGCCATCCCGATCTCAGCCATGCCGATCATTCTCCATCCCCTGATCTTCTTCGCCAAGTTGTCTCTTGGATGAGCTTGAGTGCTCTTTTAGGGTTCAGGGTTTGGGGTTTAGGAGTTGGGGCTTAGGTTTTAGAGTCCAGAGCCTTGAATTGAATCTATGGTTTAGGGTTTTACCATGCAGCTTGCTGAGTAGGCCCCAAATGGTGTGCCATTCCGATTCCCTCGTTTTTTGGCGTTTCTTTCATGGACGTCGGCCAAATTGCTTTCACCCTAAGTCATAAGCCAGAGATTACTTACGAGTTGCAGGCCGGACGGTCCTTCTCTAAACCCTATAAGCCCCAAAGCCTAAACCCCCAACCCTAAACCCTGACTGTGTTGTATGGCTCTCTGCTACAGAAGCTCAGCATGTCCACGTAGCAAGCTCGGACACTTATTGCCATGCCTGCAGTTGCGAGTGTGTGAGTCGAAACCCCAACCCTGTAAACCCGAGGGCCTCCGTCCCAGAATCCTGAGACAAAGTTGCCGGTATTCACTGTAGGACTGTAGGGCAGGGCGGATTGGAGGTACTGTATGGGCCTAAATTGTTGCCAATACTATTTTCGGGTGTTCTTTATTATGATTATAGTATAATGTGCTCTAAAACCATATTCTACTTATAAAGGCTCCCAGGTTAGGGCAGGGCGGATTGGAGGTATCGGCTAGGCAGTCCCAGAATGAGGGGACAGCGAAGCTGAACCATTACCTTAAACTTAAACTACCACCACCTGTTCTTTGCGGGCGCTTATCTATAATCCCCCATATGGGGTTGATTCGGGCCCCTGCAACAAAGTAGGTCTTGGTAGGTTCAGGTAGTCTTTGTGTAGGCTTCTTCTTAGTTGGCTATCTACTGTCTCTGTGCTTCCCCGAGCCTTCTTTGGTGGGCCTTAGGGGCAGGTTTGGGCAAAGGCTGGTCTTGAGACGTGGACCTTTTGGCATCGCGGCAGAAGCATCCACAGACATGCTCCAGCGAAATAAATATTTACCCTCAAGGGAAGGCTCTCCAGGCGCTTTAGGGTTTGGGGTTTAGGGTTTGGGGTTTTGGGTTTAAGGTTTAGGGTTTGGGGTTTAAGGTTTAGGGTTTAGGGTCTGGGGTTGGGGTTTAGGGTTTAGGGCACGAGTCAGCTGTCCTGGCGTGACATGCAAGCCAGTTGCAACAAGGGCATGCTGTGACTGGAGAAACGAAACGCACTCAGATGGCCGACAAAAGACCCAGAAGCCTAAACCCTAAACTCGAGTAAGGTCAAAGATGAGCGATTTCGTTCTGCTCACGGCTATCCTCGTCGGCCGAGTTGTCAAGCATCCTTGGCAGCAGGAAACAGCAGAAATTCAGGCATCAGCACTTGCTCACAAAGGGAGCTAGTTTATAACCTTGCGTTGAACCAGGTGATCTCCCACGAGAGGATTTCGAACTATCTTGCCAGCACCCCACCTGGGAAACACCTTGCACTGTAAAGCCAAGACCTTGAACGGCTGCTCTGTTATGATGATGGTAGTTCTCCTAGTGAGGGTCCCGCTGTAGGTCTCCAAAATCGCACGGCACCATTCTAACAAGGACCTTAAGAGGTATCCTAATTTAGAGAACTACCCATATAGATCCATTGTTAGCAGGGGCGGGATGGTTGGTGGGCCGGCATCAGGGCATCAACGCCTTGAAACTTCCAAGGCCAGTACCCGCAAGCCTCCCGAACTTTCGTGTTTAGTTCAGTGTTTAGTTTAGGGTTTATGAAGAAAGCATAGATACAGGGAAGAAGCTGTCAATTCGAGTATTGAATAAGAGCTACAGACCTCAGGTAGCCTTCAAAAATCCTTGCTCAGTGAACATCAGAGCTCCAGGTACAGCATCATGGCCCAGATGGCCCTCACCGCCCCTCACCTCCTGAAGTTCTTCGGAGCATCGCAGGAGGCTGCAAGTGACTCCTTAAGGCGGCAAAACAAAGCAACCCCGGAATATTAAATTTCCGGTTTAGGGTTTAGGGAACCTTGACGTCTAAACCAAGAACCTCGCCTGGCATGTCCCAGAGCCAGCACCGAAGCAAAGCACCCCGCAAAACTGGGCCGGATCTATCCAAGCCTGCCCGTTTTCTTGTAGTCTAGGGTTTAGGGATGTTTAGGGTTTTCATTTTCTGGGCGGTGTTGAAAGCAAGGTGTGTTTTGGTGCTGTCATGTCGGGGCTTCGTGTCTCAAGCTGAAAGTATAAGGTCTCGAGTCTATCTAGCATGTACACGCGCCAAGGGTTGACGTTGAAGCACTCTAGGCCCTCGTCGAACGTATTGTCGTCGTGCATTCCAAAAAGACGCATCTGTAATATAGTTAGTCCATAACCTCAGGGGTTCCATTAAGGGATCTATAGGGTTCTATCAGGGTTCCTTTAAAGGGCCTTCAAGAAGAGCCATGGCATCTGTCGAACCTTGGAAGCAGGTTTCGTGTTTTCCTGGGCCCCGCGACACCTGCCAATTCAATGAGGACATAGCCTCTGCGTTTCTGGACCATCTCCTCTACACCAGATAGCTTCTTCCGCAGACTCCACGTAGGGCTAAGGGTGTAGCAGTCCAAGAATGCAAGGAACTCTTGATCAGAAGTGGGAAGCCTAAAGGGCCTTAAGATAACTCAGGCGTCAGGGCTACGTAGAGATGGGCGGCTACTTCCCCTCCTTTCTCTTGTTAAGCTCTTCGGAACCTTAGAAAAACCCAAGCCTGTTGCCAGCGACCCTGGGGACGGGATGGGGAAGGTCATCCAGCAGGTGAAGAAGACCAAAGCGAACTGAGCAGCGAAACGCCGCTAGCTGCACAGAGCAGAAACCATAGACTTTGTCCTTGGATACCTTCCTCCACCCGGCAATCTAAAGACCCTATAGTTCTCTGGAAGACACCATAAAGCCCCAAACCACTTACAAACCCTAAACCATATCAGAGCCCTATAAAGTCTATCCGCCTCTAAACCCCGAACCTCAAAACCAATGCCTACCGTCGCTGCAACCCTAACCTTAAGACATATCAATACCCGCAAGTTTTGAGAGGACCGGGCGTCGAAGCCCCGGGAGCAGGGAGAACGCAAAGCGACCGCATTCTCTGCCCAGTTTTCGACCGGCGAAGAGCCAAGGAAAAGATGGTTTCGGATCGACTCGGGTGGTTCCGGTGCTTTTTTCCGGGTTTTGTCGACGGTTATTATAGAAGACAAAGGCACTTCACGGTGGGCTGGGGTGGGGGGGGGGTGGTTGCAGCTGGCAGAATGTCTTTGGTTGAGCACATCTTACGAATGGTGGCATTGAGGCACCGGCGAGTGCAGTAATACAGGGGCCGTAATAATTAGAATAGGGTTTTGGGGTACATTAAACTAAAATTATAGTAAGGAGCCCTCCATAATAGTGTTGCTGACTAGTTTTAGGCCCCTACATTAGTTGGGCGTCCGCCAGCTCGAGCTTAAACGAATTCCTGAATGGAAATGCAGCAGCTGAAGCAAGCCAGACCTGGAAAATAAATGCCAAGACTATTTTGAGGGCTCCTTATTATAATTATAGTACACTATACCCCAAAACCCTGTTCTAATTATTAAGGCCGCTAAAGTACCCGAGACTCCTAGACCCTGTACTGCCCTTAGCATAGTCTGATATCGCATCGTATGGTGTGGTTTGGTATGGTACATTTAGTATAGTGTAAATTTAGTATAGTATAGTATAGCAGAGGAAAGTAGAGTAGTAGTATGGCATAGTACAGTGTAATATCGTAGCGCATTTTACCACATAGTATACTAAAGTTTCGTATAGTATCTTCCTTCGCTGCTTTGTTTTCCCGAAAGCATCGCGAAGGGTTCTTCCGTGCGGAGCCCCGCAGAGAAAATACATAGAGAATACATGGGGTCAAGTACACTTGACTTTACGAACACTTGACTTTATGACATTTGACTTTACCACT